AAGGCAATATATCTTTCAGAGGGAGATAATGAGTCAGCATAAAAAAGCAGACAAAAATCTTGGAGCCATGGGAAAGAGAAAGCAAAACAAAACAAAACAAAAACCTCTGAGGCTAGAATTGGTTGAAGCCTTTGCTAGGAGAGGAGTAAGAATTCTACCACAACTGAAAAGCCACAAGTCTCACTCAGTTTGGCCTGAATCAAGGTCATAAAAGACTAGGGGATCTCCTCAAGCTAGTGAGGGTTGCAGTGTAGAGCTGTATTTCTATCCCTTTACCACTAACAAGATGAAGGCAGTTAAGCAGAAACAGATGCAGGAGAGCTCTTTTTGCCTTCCTCTTTGACTAAATGCACTATACATATTACCAAAGACTAAAGGCACTCTACCCTTTTTACTAGGAATAACAAAGACAAAATTGGACCCTACTTGAACTGAAGGTGTTTTACAAACTTGATGAAAATATAAATGTATGTGAAGTAACCCATGCCTTGCCAGTGACAAAAAGCTTACCTTTCCCTCAAATTTGGTTTGATATGCAAGGTAAACAATCTTGTTATCTCAGCTTCACTCCCTTCCACACCTTCCTCCTCCCAAAATGTATCACTTTTACATAGAAAGCTGGTACACTCAATGGCACCATAGGAGGCCTGGCTTGAAGCTGACATTCAAACAAGGAAGGAGAAAGCTTTGGCTAACAAACTGTCAAAGAGAAAACATGGATGGACCCAGAGACAAAGAACTTCACTACATCCTGGGAAATTGAGCTTGGATTTTCCACCCACTCTCAGATGGCCTTGATTGGGGAAACGGGAATGAAAACATGACAGACAAACATACAGAAGATCTGTAAAGAGAAGCTGGGGTCAGGTGAGCTGTATGATCTACTGGAAATGAACCAGCAGCCAGAAGCCAACACAAAACAACTCTGAAATACCACCTCACATCTGTCCGAATGGCTAAAATCAAAAATACCAATCACAATCTATGCTGGAGAGAAGGTGGAGAAAAAGGAACACTCCTCCATTGCTGGTGGCAGTGTGAACTTGTAAGACCACCCTGGAAATAAGTTTGGTGGTTGCTCAGAAAAATGGGAATCAGTCTACCTCAAGATCCAGCCATTCCTCTCTTGGGTATAAACCCAAAAAGTGCAATTTCATACAACAGGTACATATGTTCAACCATGTTCATAGCAGCATTGTTTGTAATAGCCAGAACCTGGAAGCAACCTAGATGCCCCTCAACTGAAGAGTTCATAGAGAAAATGTGGTACATTGATACAATGGAGTACTGCTCAGCACTTGGAATCTTGAAATTCACAGACAAATTGATGGAACTAGAAAAACCATCGTGATTGAAGTAACCCAGTCAGAAAAGACAAACATGGTATGTACTCACTCTTACATGAATTTTAGACATAGAGCTAAGGATTACTAGCCTATAATCCTCTTCACCAAAGAAACTAGGAAACATGAAGGACACTAAGGGATAAATGGACCCCAGCAATGGGAAGGGGCAGGAACTCTTTAGCTAATTGGGAGCATGAGGGTAGGGGAGAGGGAGCTGCCAGGATGAGAGCAGGAAAAGAAGAGGAGAGGAGAGGAAATGGAGAAGCAGAAATATTGAGTTGGGTGAAGAATAGAGGAGAGAGAGGGGATGAGAGATACCATATTAGAGGGAGCCATTATAGGTCCTAGGAGAGATCTGGCATTAGGGAGATTTCCAGAGACCTACAAGGATGATACGATCTGACAATCTAGGCTATGGTGGAGAGGATAACCAAAATGGCCTTCCCCTAAAATGAGATTGATGACTACTCTTTATGCCATTCCTAGATTCCTCATCCAGTGGCTGATGGAAGCAGAGACAGACATCCACAGATAACACTGAACTGAAATCCAGAACTTAGTTGAAGAGAGGAGGAATGAAGATTGAAGGGGTCGGTAACAGGAGGGAGAAACCTACAGAAACAGCTGGCCTGAACAAGGGGGAGCACGTCGAACCCAAATGCTGTCTGGGAGGCCAGTACAAGACTGATCCAGATCCCTGAACATGGATGTCAATGAGGAGGACTCTGCACTCTGGAGGGGGGGGGGGCTTGTAGTGGATTAGTATTTTTCTCTGACCTAAGAAGGAACTTTGAGATCCAATCCCATGTGAAGGGATGCAGTCTGGACACATGAGTATGGCCTAGGCCTCGCCCAGGATGATTTGCTGGACTTTGTGGAGCCCCCATTGAGGTCCCTACCCTGCCTATGGTTCAGGTATTGCAGGCTCACAGCATTCTCTTGTGGATTTTTCTCTCTGTCTCCCTCCCTCCCTCCCTCCATCTCTCTCTCTCTCTCTCTCTCTCTCTCTCTCTCTCTCTCTCTCTCACACACACACACACACACACACACATACACACACACAAACAAACACAAACTCACTTTCTCATCTCCTCCCCATCATCCAGTTTGTTCCTTTCTATCTCAACTTCCTCCCCTTCCTTCCCCTCCCCTCTTCCTCAACCTCTCCTCATTCCCCTCCTCTTTTCTTCCCTCTACTTCTCCTTCCCCCTTCCTCTTCTCTTCCCCAGGCTCTTCCGTTCCTTCCCCTTTCTCTTCCCTCCTCCCACTCCTCCTGTCCTCTCTTCCTCCTCTCCAGACTCATTTCCTTCTTTTTCCTCATTCCCTTTTCCTCCTCCTCTCCTTTCCCTTCTCTTCTCTTTCCTTCTCCCTTTCCTTCTTGTCCTTTCTTCCTCCTACCGTCCCTCCCTATTGCCTTCCTTCATCTTCCCCTTCTTTTCTCATCCTCTCCTTCAGAGCTAGCCTGAAGCTAAGAGGTGGAGGCATGCCTAAATCCCTAGATGTTCCCATGATGACAGCAGCAGGAGTTTCATTGCCCTACTCCTTGCCCAGATGCCAGCAGACCCCAAGCAGTTAAGTTTCCTGTGCATATGCCCAATGCACATACCATCTGATAAGCTCATGGGTCTCCAAGGCTACAGGACTGGTTGCTGCTCATCTGATATCTGAAACAGCCTGAACTCAACATCCTTTGACTTTATACATTTCCTTCCTCTGACCCCTGTTGCTTCTGAGTGTACAAATGAAGTACCCTGGATGTTCTTACCCCAACCAACAACATAACAACCCAAGGACCCACAGGCCATTCTTCTCATGGTAGAAATGTCCCTTGGCCCCTTTTAATGAATGAGTTGTCCACTAACACAGCCTCCAGGCTGTCTTTATCCCCTGTTGTTCTCATGAGCACTCAGGATCTGCCTTTGGCCCTGCCCATGATCAGCCTATTTCCCCTGTTAACCAAGCCTGGAAAAAGCCAGGAATGTAAACTTGCCCTCTCCCTCCTCTTTCTCACCCCTCTCCTTTCTTTTCTCCCCTTCTTCTCCCCCTCCTTCTTCCAAACATTCTAATACTCTCCTTCCTTATCTTCCTTCTCCTGCCTCCCTTTTCTCTGCCTTGTCCAGTTCTCCTCACCCTCTTCCTCCTATTGTTTCCTCTCCTCCCTTTCTCCCTATTCCTTCCCTCTTCTTCTCCTTTTACACTTCTCTATTTTCCTTCTCCACCCCTTCCTTTCTCTATTCTCCTCTTTTCCCTCCTCCTTCCCCTCCTTTTGATCCTCTCCCCTCCTCTTCCCCTCTTCTTCCTATCTTCCTCCTCTCCCTCTTTCTTCTTCCCTCTTCCCTCTGTCTTCTCCACATTCTCCTCCCCTTCCTTTTACCAAACTTTCTATTCCTCCTCCGTCTCCTCCTCTCTTGCCCATTCTTGTCTTCCACCTTCTATTCTTTTCCTCGTCTACCACTCCTCCCTCTTTCCTCCTCCCTTTTTCCTTTATCCTTCCTCCACTTTTCTTCCTCCTCCTCCCCATTTCCTTCTCCTCCACTCCTTTCTTGTCCATTTCCTTTCTCTCCTTTCTTCACAACTCCCCTCCCTCAACTTCTTCTCTTTTCCTCTGCCCTCCCCTCCTCTGCTTCTCGTTCTCATTCCTCAACCTCTCCTCTTCCTCTTCCCTTCTCTTCACTCTTCTTTCTTCCTCCTTCCCCTCCCTCACCTTCTCTTCTTATCCTCCCCTCCTCTCTCTATTGTTCCTATTTCCCCCTTTCCTTCTCCACTCCTCCTTTTCCTATCTTTCTCCTTTTCCACCAATACTTCATTACGTTTCCCCTTTTCCTCTCATCCTCCTCATCCTATCCTTTCCTCCTTGTCCCTTTACTCCTTCCCCTCCAACTCCTCCCACCCTCTCCCTTCCCTGCTTCCTCTATTTACTTCCCTCTTTCTTTCTCTTCATTCTGTCCTCGTCCTTCTACCTTCTGCCTTTTATTCTACCTCCGTTTTCTTCTCTCCCTCCTGTAATTTTCCTCCTCTTTCTGCTCCCCTGTCTTGCCTTCCTCCTCCCTGCTCTTCTCTTACCCCTCCTTCATATCCTCCCCATTTTCTTCCTCCCCTCCTGTTCTTCTCCAATTATTTCTCTCCTCCCATCTCTGCCTCTCCATCCTCACTCTTCTCTTCCCCTCTCTAGCAAGCCCTCTTCCCTTTCTCATTATACCCTTCCTTCCTTTTCCTTCTCCTCAATCCCTCCTCTTTTTCTGCTCCTTTCTCTGTTGAAATCAAGGAGTCAACCAGGGACTGCTTAGCTATATCTTCAATCATTTTTACATTTTGAAAAAACATTTTATATTTTTAATTATGTGCATGCATGTGTTTGGGGTATAGCCTTTATGCTGATCCTTTAGCCCTAGAACCCAGGCCATTTAATCATGCAATATGAACATCTAGTAAAAACTCATGATGTGGAAGTGATAGAAGCAGCATCACTTGAGTAATATTGTCAAATAAGCAAACACAAATTTTTAATGAACATTTATTTGTTTGGACATTTAATAATTTTCTATCTGATCAGAAGAATAAGGAACCTGAAATATTAAGCCCTCTTGTACCTGGATAGCTTTCAAGAACATCAAATACACAATGAAATCAGCAAAGATAGAAATGTTTACTGTTCTAGGTCATAACAGAGTGGTCTGCAGACCCACACAAGGCTTTGAAGCGATAGAAGATAGAATATGCGATAGAAGACAATTTGTAATTGCTCGCACCAAACAGAGAAGTGGTATTCTCTGATAGGTAATTAAGGAAAACGTGCATATAGCTGGACAATGATATAAGACTGTGACTATTAAGTGACCAATGGGCCAAAGCAGTCCCAATGTTCACAAATATTCGCAGGAGGTGTGGAGCCCCGTAAATCTGAGACATCGGAATATCTGGGTAAGCAAGGAGGATTTCGGCATACTGGGGGTTTTCAAACTGACAGAGCAGCTGAGTGCCCAGCATCTTGTTGAAATACTTTCTAATTCCATACACAAGTTCATCAACAGAATTATCAGAATTTCTCTGTGACTTCAAGAAAGTCACATAGTTTTCAAGAATGTGCTCTACATTCTTCTCAGCAGGGAGTTGGAATAACTGCTTCTGCTTGTTTACCAAGTCCCAGTACTCAACAAGACATGCTTTTAGTTCTTGAGGCAACTTCAATTCAACTCCCATTCTTAGATTCACTGCCTGCATATGCTGATCAGTGGTGACAGCCTCAGCCACATTCTGATGAGGTACCTGGGCTACTTGGCTGGTATCACTGCTAATTCTGCTTTCTGCAGCATTCTTCATGTGTTCTGGCACTGGCATTGTAAGCATGGATCCTGAAGAAGGTTGCTCTGCATGAAAGCCTTGCTCCATGGAGGGATAACTTTCCTCCACAGAGCACCTATTCTCTCTTGAGTTACTTTCCTCTTCCTGAGTATTCTTCATATACTCTGGCACTGGCACTGTAGGCATGAATCCTGAAGAAGGTTTCTCTACAAGAAAGCCTTTCTCTTTGGAGTGATGACCTTTCTTCACAGAGTCTGCATTTTGTCCTGTGTTACTTTCCTCATCAGCGTAGCTGTTGTGAAACTCACCACTCTCCACAGAACTAAAAAATTTCTTCTCTATGCTCACTTTCGTGACAGAGTGCTGTCTCTTTTTCTTAGCAGGGTGGCCTCTCTCCCCAGAGCGATCTTTCTCTGCAGTGTGGATTCTCTTGGAAGATGGGCCTTTCTCTTCATTGCGACTCTTTTTGAGAGAGCAACTTCTCTCCTCAGGTAGATGTTTCTCTGCACTGCGGCTTTTCTTTGGAAGTCTGCCTCTTCCTGTGAGGCGATTTTGCCCTGCAGAGGGTCTGCTATCTGCTGACTGACCCTCCTCTGCAGGACTGCTTTTCTTCTGAGGGTGACTTCTCCATGTCGGGTGTTCTTTCCCTGTGGAAGTTCTTTTATTCATGGTGTAACCCCTTTCCAACAAGAGACCTTCCTCTACAGGGCGGCTTCTGAGGTGGTGATCTCTCCCTGCAGGCATATCTTCACCTGCAAAGGGTATGCTACTTGCGAAGTTGACTCTTTTGACTGAGCAAACCTCCTCTCCAGGGCAGCTTTTCTTCTCAGGCGGACCTCTCCCTGTGGGGAGATCTTTCGCTATGGAAGGTCTTTTATTAGCAGTCTTACGCCTGTCCACAGAGCGACCCTCCACTATAAGGCAGCTTTGAATGCTGCCACCTCTGCTTGTAGGGCTATCTTCACTTGCCAAATGTCTATTTGATGCTCAGTTAACCAAGTCAACTGAGTGAACCTTCTGTGCACCGCAGCTTTTGATGTGGCAATCTCTCCCTGCAGATTGACTCTTGCTTACTGAGTATTCTTTCTCTACTAGGTGACATTTTTTGTCAAGCCGACCTCTCCCTACAGGATAATCTTTCTCTGTGGAGAGTCCTCTCTTAACAGAACAGTTTCCCTCTATCTGGCGATCTCTCTCTGTACAGCTAAGTTTCTTGGCTGGGCTGTCTTTCTCTTGGGGGTGCTGGTTTTCTGTAGAGGGTCCTCTCCCATCCAAGTAACTTTTCTGAGGAGATCGACTCTTCTTTGTAGAAAGACCTTTCTTTGTAGGTTGACTTCTCTCAACAGGGCGGCCTCTCTCGCCATAGGAATCTCTCTCAGCCAAACCACCTTCCTCTTAGAATGACCGCTTTCTGTAAGCCATTTTTTCTTGTTAAGGCAACCTCTCTGTGCAGGAATATCTTTCTCAGATGAGCGATGCTTGTCGAATGAGCAACATTTCTCACAAACGGGATGCGTCTTCCCAGAGAGTTGCTTCTTTTTTTTTCGCAGAGGCTCTTTTCCTTTTAGCAGAAGTTTCTTCTTCTTTGCAATTGCTATCGTGTAGCTGAAGCATCTCATCCAAGGGTGTCTTAACCAAAACATGTGTAGCAATGTGTCTTTTCTCAGCCACACCAACATTTTTAGTGGAGGACTTTTTCTCTACTGTGCAGGTTGTCTCATCCGAGCAACCTCTCTCCACCGAGGGACGTTTTGTGGCTGGACAGCTCCGTGGTCTTCTTGGAGTCTCGGCTGACTTCTGTCCTGAGCAGGTATTTGTCCTCTTTGTGACATGCCTCTTACTTGGTGTGTGCTTCAAAAAGTCATCACCTTCAGGAACATGCTGCTCACCAACATGAGGCCTTTTCTTTCTGGAAGTCATTGAAGCAATCTTCTGGCTTTATCTTCAAAGAACAAGTGAATTCCCAGATTTTCTGGAAAACTGGACTGAGTACAATCCCAAAAGTCTGTAGTCTGAATTAGTTCTAAAACCAGGATCCAATCTCCTGGTTGTCTATCAAATTTAGCTCTTTTTAAGGATGGCAGAGGAGTGGGAGTGGGGAGCTCAACTGCCGCAGGTCCAACAGTCAGTGCAACTTTGGCAACTCTCTGTACACAAACGCCATCTTGGGTGGAAGGGAGGGGATGGCTTTGGCCCTACAACCAATCAGCAGTCTTATGTAAATTGAACTATGTTCCATAGCCAAATGATTGTACAACCACTCTGATATCATAGTAATGGCGCCTGGGCAGGGCGAGAGGGCTTCTTTTTCTTTACTTATTTTTTTTTTTCTTTTAAAGACCAGATTGTACTCAAAGTCCCAAAGATCCATCCCAAGCTTTTGACTCCTCAGTGCTGGCATTAAAGGCATGCATGTCCCGATTACCTTTCTTGATTAATTCAACTTCCTTCCTGTGACCCTTTCTTTGCCTAAATCTCTTGTTCTTACTCTTCATCCTGGGGGCAAGGGTGTGGAGAAGCTATGGGCTTGAGCTTCCTGTAGCCTAGAGGCAGAAAAAGAAAAGCATGTCATCTCCAGCATCTTATCACTGAGGAAGAATAGGACTATGAGCAATGAAAGAGATATCTTGATAGAGGGGACCATTATGGTGTTAGGGAGAAAGCTGGTTTCAGGGAACCTCCCAGGAATCTATAAAGATGACCCTAAGACTCCTAGGAATAGTACAGAGGGTGCCTGGACTGGCCTGCCCCTGCAATCAGATGGATGACCACCCTAGGTGTCATCATAGAGCCTTCATGCATTACCTGATGGAAGCACATGCAAAGATCCACAGCCAAACACTGGGCTCCAGGGATCCAGTTGAGATGGAGAAGGGATCATATGACCAAAGGGATACAAGATCATGACAGGGAAATGTAGGGGAAGCTGTAGCTACCCCTACTTAGGGGCTGGCTACAGGTGTGTCTGACCACGCCCTCACAAGCTTTCGGTTTCTCTTTTGGGCTTGCGTACAGACTGCTGCCATGCAGGCTAGCTAGGTTGCTCTATAAGTAAGGCTTTTCCCTATTAAATACCCTTATATTTCTACCTGACTCTGTATTGGTAATTTCCCACTATAGGGAAACCCACAGAGACAGCCAACCCAGTCTAGTCAACTCATGGATTCTAGACTCACTGCCGAGAAGCCTGAATGGGAGCAAACTAGGCCCTCTCTGCATGTGGGTGACAGTTGTATAACTCTGTCTGTTTGTGAGACCCCTATCAGTGGAACAAGAATCTGTCCCTGGTGCATGAGCTGATTTTGAAACCCATTCTCTATGGTGGGATAGATGCTCAGCATTGATGTAGGAGGGAAGAGCTTGGTCCTACTTCAACTTGATATGCCAGGCTTTGTTAACTCTTCATGGGAAGCCTTACACTTTCTGAGGAGCTGATGGGAGCAGTAGAAAGGAGGTGGGGAGAGAATGGGAGGAGAGGAGGAAGGGGATACAGTGGCTGGTATGTAAAATAAATATAAACTTAAAAAGAAGAAAGATCTCCTTCCATCCTCCCTTTTTCCATTGCCTTCAGGACTGGGAGACTTCTGAGTGTGGCAATGAGTTTATTTCCATTCACCCTGAGGATGTAAGAGATACATTAATCTACTAAACTGTGTGTCTTAAAAATATGCCCAAAGACTTAATGTTTTAAAAAATGGGAAAATGTATAAAGTCCAATCCTAAGAAAGTATAGTGCCAAAGTAAGTATCAGACAAAATATAATGTAAAAGAAAATCTTTACAGGATAAACAATGTTTTCTAATGATGAAGGGGTTGAACCAGCAAGAAGCTACCACAATCATGAACAAGTAATCATCTAAGAATAGAAAACAAAATACAGGAAGCAAAAAGTCATAGAAATACAATAGACAATTCAAATATACTAATTGTAGGTTTCAATAAGTACTTTTGGTAATGGTTAGAACACTAGTGACATCTTAACAATCTGATAAAATACTTGAACAACAGTAAGAAGCAAGTAGTCCTAGGAATACACGTACACAACAATCCACCCAAGACCGTAGAATAGACTTTCTTTTCAAGAGCATATTGTATATTTTCTGTTATATCATACACTGGCCAGAAGAAAAATAAGTGTAAAGTATGCTCTTTAACCACAAAGGAATGAAGTTAGAAGTCAATAACTAGGAAATTTATGAAAATAAAAATCTGTGCAAATTCACTAGTATAGCAATGTGTGAGAGAAGAAATGCAACCTGTAAGTTAGAAAATCCACTGAAAACACCATACCTGGTGGAGAAGGCCTATACTCCCAGCCACTTGGACAGCCAAAAGAAGAGAATCGAAAGTTCATCTACAGAGTAAAAATATTGGAAATCATAAAACACAAATGAAAACAAAATATATAAATATCTATAAGATATTACTAAATTAGTCCTTATAGAAATTATAAAACTTTGAGTGCCTGTTTAAAAAAAAACACAGGAAAAGTGAGCTGGAGAGTTGGCATAACAGTTATAAGTCCCTTTTGTTCTTGCAAAGAATCCTAGTTGGTTTCCCCAAGCCATATCCACTAGTCACAAGCATCTGCAACTCTAGCTACAAGAATATTGTAACATGACAAATGAAAGACCCAGAGACTGATATTGGAGTTCAAGCTTCAAGCTGAAGTTCAGAAAAGCAAAGCAACTGGTCACTAGCTCTCCCTCTACCTCAGACTGATAGGCGATCCTGGCTACACCAAACCTCAGGCTGTAACCTCACCTCAGCATAGAGAATACTGAGACTTCAGTGTCTTCCTGTCCTCAATGTGGCTGGAGACTGAATGCCTGATACCGACAACTGAAGACCCTGCTCCTATTGTTATACCCCTCTAGTGTTGGCATTAAAGGCCCCTC